ATTTTTTTTGCTAAAATTAAACTCGTTTTAAATGGCGAGTCTGTGAGCCGTACATGCCGTGCAGCCAACGCTGGCTGTGCCTGCTGCCCGTGGAGGGGGCGGGGGTGCGGTGGCCGCCCTCTCCAGAGTGGGAACTGAAGCAGATGGGGCGGGCGTTTGCATGACTCCGCCCACTTCACCTAGAAGCCCCTGATTCAGCCTGCCACCCCCTTCCCTCTTCCTCGTCCGACTTCCCTCCTCGCAGACACCCTCTCAGTCCTGCTCAGGACATGCTATGGTTTGACCTGGTAAATGGTTTCCTGGGGCCGAGGCTAACTTACGTATCTGACTTACACTGAAGTTTACAGATTGATAGGAAACAACTCACTTCTAGGATCTGCGGACCCAGAGACGTCTGTCCGTTGCCTCATCACAGCACTGAGCAGTTGGTGCTGGAAAGGGCTGGCTAGTTTCGAACGCTGTTTCCTCGACCAGGGAAGGAGGCCGGGCAGCAGCTGCCCGGAGCCAGGGAGGGCCGCCCGGGGCCGGAGCCAGGGGCTTCCCGCTGCCTCACTGTGTGATGTGTAAGACCCGTCCTTCTGCGGCCTGAACAGTAGAGTCCGACGTGGAGCCAGAACTGGGCGTCCGACCCAGCACACCACGCGGACGTGAGGGGCCCCAGCGGTCAGCGCCTGTGGGTCGCTTTGCCTTACTCATTTCAAGGAGGGTCTGGCTGGAAGCTCTCGGCGGTGGGTCTGCACTTGGCCCAGCCCTCGCGGCTGCCTCTGTGCCCTGCCCCTCTGCCCTGTGTGATCGCCCCACAGCTCCTCACTCTTTACCGTCCTGGCATGCCTTGAGTGCCCGCTCCCTGCCAGGCCCTGTGCTCTGTAAAGATAAAGAGAAGAGTTCATGCTTTAGAGGGCTCACAATCCAACAGGCAGAGCCTACTGTCAGAAACAAATGCGGCGCGGGGATTTTACGTGCTGTCAGCCAGGGCTCCGAGAAAGGTGGTCTTGGCACTGAGTGCTAAATGATGCCACTCAGCCAAGACGCCTTCTGCAGGGTCAGCTTCCTGGAAGAATTAGCCCAGAGTCGATAAAACAACTCGGGCTTGTGTGCGGTGCAGGCTGCGCGAGCCGTGGCCAGGTGGTCCGCGGCCGGAGGACGCCGGGCTGAGGGGGCGGCGGCTGGCATCCAGCCCGCTTCGCTCGCTGAGCTGTGCGCCCAGGCCAGCGAGGATCCGTGCCTGCCCAGAGCAAGAGGCACAACTTTCTAATTCAGACAGAGGCGTCGTCTGGGCTGGCACCGGCCTGCCACCGCTTTATAGCTATAAAGCTCTTTCACACGCGAATCTCATTGGATGCTCTCAGCAGCCACGGGCAGCAGGGCAAGGGGTGGGCATGCTCTGGCCCAGAGGAGCGCAGTGGCGTGCTGAGGGCACAGGGCGAGGATGTGACAGAGCCAGGATGTCCGCGCCCCCCTGTCCCCCGCGTGGACTGGAGCCGTGTTCTGACGCTGCCCCGCGCACATCTCCCGGCAGCTAATGAATTGCTAATATAATTTTCTAGATAATTTTATTTTCATAGCCCCACATTTTAATGTGTTTCCAAAAGCCAGCATTTATTTGCTTAATCTCCCAGTGTAATAGAATCTGCCCTGACTCATCATACATGCGGACAATCAGCTAGGCAGAAACTATAGCAAATTGGTTAATAACTCGGATCTGGTCTCGATTTTTAACTTGCTGCACCAACAGCTTTCCTGGTGTCTCCTCCACATCTCCCCTGCCCTTTCCTTTTTTATTTTAAAATATTTTTTCATTCTTTCAGCTGTTGGTGTCCAGACACAAGGCTGGGGAGAGTGCATGCGGGGCCTGAGAGCCCCCTGGTCTGTGTCTCTGGGCCTAGAGCAGTGTCTTGGTGGCCAGAGAGAGCCCCACACCTTGCTGGATGTCCCAGGAAGGGGGTGGGGAGGCCCTGGGAGGGACTCCGCTGCGTTTTCTTCCTGGGTGGCGGCTGTATAATGTTACACCTGTGACCACGGTGCAGAGCTGGCCGTCTGGGCTTCAGGTGCACTGTGCCCCGGGTCCTGCCATGCCACCTCCTAGGCGTCATTCTTCCACGCCTGTCCTTGCAGCCCCTGCCCTGGTCTGGTTCCCACCCTCCTCTAGTGGGGCACAAAAGCCGTCAGCTCTCTCCCTGTCCCAGCCACTTGCCTCGGCTGTTGGTCCCCAGGCCGCCCCCAGGGTAGTTGCCCTCACATACCAGAAGGATCATGCCAGCACCCCCAGCCTTCGCGGCACTGCGTTGCCTGTAGGATAAAGTCTACCCTGTCCCCCCCACCCCCCACCCCCAGTATGGCCCTCTGCCATCGGGCCCCCAGGAGCCTTCCCTGCTCTTCTCTCTCCTCGGGGTCTGTCCTCTGTCCCCGCCTGCTCTGAAATTTGCTTGTGCTGTCTCCTTAGCCCGAGTCCAGTGCCCCACCTCCTGGTCCTCGCTTCTCAATACTGTTCACTTTTCAGAGCCATTGAGAAAGTCTCTCAGGTCACCTCAGAGCCCCTGGAGGCCGCCCTGCCTTGTCCTCGGGGTGCTTGTTGACTGGCGTCCCCCAATAGCCTGGGAGCCGTTCTCTGGTTGACCTCAGCATCTCCCTGGTCCAGCAGAGAGCCATGCCCGTGACTCGGCCCCAGCCACCCCTCCCGCCCAGGTCCTGAGCATTGCTGGGCGAGCCCTGGGCGCATGGAGCTCCTGCACTCGCGGGCTGGCGCTGGCTGCTGCTGGTGTTGCTTTGTCTTCCCGGAGAAGCCCAGGCAGGCAGGTGGCAGCCTCAGAGGTAGCCCTGTGGTTTCTGACACCAGACAGACCTCGGCATTTTTAAACCTCAGCTCTGCCTCTTTCTCCCTGTGTGGCCTTAGGCAAGTTTTTTCATCTCTGTTTTCCCATTTGTGAAAAGGGGATGCGAATGCCTGCCGTGGAGAGCAGCGAGTGTTAAATGAGGCAACACAGATAGAGCGCCTTGCACAGTGCCAGATCAGTTCCTTCCCTCCGCTCGTTGAGGCAGGAGCAAGTCCCTGCCGGCTTGTGCTCAGCCTGGCCTGGTCCTGGGTGCAGGCAGTGCGAATTGAGCATGGCTGCAGGTGCCTCGTCTCCGAGTGTCTACACAGGTGGCTGTGAGGGGTGGAGGACTACAGGGAGTGAGAGGTCTTGCCTTCCCACTAATCCATCCCAAACCAGCCATGAATGGGACGGAGGCAGGAGAACAGACCTCCTACTTGCCGACCCCATTGGTGGACCAGAGAGGCAGCCAGGCTTGTTATGCGACCCTTCTCCACCCCACTTCCCACCAGGAGCCCCGATTCCGCACTGAGCAGGCCACAGCCCTGGCAGCCAAAGCTCTGCCCCTTCCGCCCCTGGGGCTGGGTGGGCAGATGCCAGGCCTGCCCACCTTTCCTGCTCTGTCCCTCACACAGGGCTGAGCACCAGTGATACTACCCAGATGCCATTAGAGCAGTGGTTCTCAACCTTCTGGCCCTTTAAAACAGTTCCTCATGTTGTGACCCAACCATAAAATTATTTTCGTTGCTACTTCATAACTGTAATGTTGTTACTGCTATGAATCGTCATGTAAATATCTGATATGCAGGATGGTCTTAGGCGACCCCTGTGGAAGGGTCGTTCGACCCGCCAAAGGGGTCGTGACCCACAGGTTGAGAACTGCTGCATTAGAGGGAGGTGAGCAGGTGGGCCTGCTGGGGGAGCTTGTGTGCTTATGGAAACAGAATCCAAAGTGGTGGGCAGGGAGCCACCAGTTAGGACCAGACGGGGGTCGTAGCTTCCTCAGGCTGCTGCACCCGGAGAGGCGTGGCTCAGAGCAGCACTGGGCAGGGGCTCAAACACACAGGAAGTGGCGGCCAGTCTCGGAGGGCACCGTGGGTGCCTGCCTACCTGCGCCCCGGGTCGGCCCAGGAATGACTGGACTGCGTTAATGAAAATCTCATGTTCCTCATTAGCTTAAATCCTTTGAAAATTGCCCTTTCGTTTTGGGATGAAACCTAAGGCTCTTAATAGTGTTTTCAAGACCCCACACGGCCTGGCCCTGCCTGCTGCTCTGGCTCCCCTCCCCTCTCCCTGCCTCCCAGCTGCCCCGCTCGTCTGCCTGGTCCTCCGGCCTGCGTGCTTCTCTCCAGCCTGGAGTGTTCACGCTGCTGTTGTGTCCTCCAGGAATGGTCTCCGCCACTCCCCCGTGTGCTGGGTGGCATCTGTGATGAGAGCAGGGGCTTTGTATCGTTTCCCATGGTGACAGCCCCAGTGCCCAAAAGAGGGTCCCGCCTGTAGAAGGCACTGAAATAGTCTTTGCTGAGTGAACGGACCCTTAAGATGGGTGCTTTAATAACTGGGGCATCGGGTCTGATAGAAGCGGCATCGGAAGGGGAAGGGGAAGGGGACCCCCTCCCGGCGCCGGGTGCACCGGCTCGGCTGCTCAGGATCTGCATGGAACTCGGGACGAGCGCTTCGCTCTCGCTGTGCCTTGCTTTTCTCATCTGAAGGGTGAGGATGGGGCGCCTACGGTTTGGTGATGCGATTTTAAATTAGTTACAACTGAGCGATGGCCGGCAGATGTTATCTCCGTTACCGTTATCCTCACAGAGGCCACCTGACACCCCACCTCCTGCCCCAGACTCCGCAAAGGCCCTCTGACAGATGTGGTTCAGTACCGTGCCTTCGACAGCACTCCATACAACTGCCAGCTCCCATTTGCTACTGCGACGTGTTTTATCAGTGCTGCTCTTTCTCCACTAGACTTTGGGTGTCACGGTACCGGGAGGGAGTTGATTTTGTCCCACTGGATCACATCCTGGGTGCTCCATCAACGTTGCTTGTCCTGGGCCGCCTCTGGGTTCGCCCCTGAGCGCGGGGGCTGAGGGCACCGGTCCTGACGCGGGCCCTTGCGCTAGCCTGGATGGGCAGAGAATGGCCTTGCGTTCCAGCTTCCTGAGGCTCTCCCGGCTCTGTCTCCCGCAGGCACAGACATGGCCGTCTTCTGTCTGCTGTGCGGGAAGCGTTTCCAGGCGCAGAGCGCCCTCCAGCAGCACATGGAGGTCCACGCGGGCGTGCGCAGCTACGTCTGCAGTGAGTGCAACCGCACCTTCCCCAGCCACACCGCCCTCAAGCGCCACCTGCGCTCGCACACAGGTAGGCAGCCAGGTGATGGGTGGGCCAGGGTCTCCGGGAACCAGTGTCTGGTTTTACCGCCAGACACATGAAGTGGAGGTGCTGGGCAGAATTAGCCCCCAGCTCTTTGCTCAAGGATTGGGCTGGGGGTGGTTTCCACGGTGCAGGTAAATGCTGATGGTTCTCCCCACCCACCTTGGGGAACTTGAGTTCTCCGTCTCTCTTTGCTCAACAGAGGGGGGGGGTCATTAGAGACGCAGTCTTGGGCCCCCCCTCTCAGAAACTTTGATTCGTTGTGTACGGCTGAGATGCAAGACTTCAACGTTGTTAATAAATATTCCCAAGGGATTCTGAGGCAGGTGGACCCAAAACACACTTTGAGAAAAACCTACCTGCTTGGTCTCTGGTTCTCTCTGCCACACACCCCTTCGCTCTCCCTGGCCCCGCCCCATGGACACATGTTCCCCAAGTCAGCCTTGGGCTCCGAGGGGAATGTTGCAGAGTGGTCCCAATTGCTCCACAATAACAGAAGCCATTTCTATCCTGGGGGCTTAACCTTGTTTAGGGGAGTAAACGATGAGCCATGACAGGTCTCTGCCTAGCCAGTTCCAGACGCCGGGGAGGGGAGGGGCTGTCCGTCAGCGAGGCTAGACCAGGTGCCACCACAGTGTAGGTTTGGGGGTGGCATGCTTGGTCCCTGAGGGCCAAGAGCGTCTGCTTCCTTGCAACCGGATCCCATCGTAAGGGGATGGGTGACTTAAATTCTTTCCTTTCTCTAAGACAAAATCGGGTCCCTGCTGACCGTACTGGATAAAGGACTGCCCACGCCTCTGCTGTGTGTGTGCTCTGCTGGGTTTGGGATGACAGGGCGGGGCCAGGGCGACAGGCAGGCAGGCTCTATATCAGGACAGGGCACAATAACTGTGTACAGACAGGTGGTTGGGCACTTTCTCTCCTCACTCCCGTGTCTTGTCACAGCCCCGGGACTACGTGTGCAGGCCAGGCCTTCCATGGCGACAGGCTCAGCAGAGCAGGGGAGGGGCTTTCTTTATCGTGGACTGAGTAGCCTGTCCTGCCAGCCGTGGGCTTGCTCACCGAAGAGCCTGCCTGGGCCCTCGATTCTGGATGCCACTCTGTTCAGGGGAGCATGTGGCCCGAGCATCACCACATTTGCTGGCACAGGACAGGGAGGTCCCAGAGAGTGGGGCCAGGCGAGAAGGGCTCAGGCGGAAGGAATGCCGGCGGGACTGTCTCTGTCGTGCCTTGTAAGCATCCCTTGCAGGTCCGTGCACCTTCCCGTCAACACCACCCCCCTGCAGTCCCACGGTGGCCAGTCACCTTCAGCCACTAGCTTCCTGTGCCTGAATCATCCAGCCCCACTGAGTCTCCCCAGGTTACGCCCAGCTCTGCTCAGGCCCCTTCAGAGAGCTCAGTTCTCAGCTGTCGCAAGCTCCTGTGTCGTTGGGGGCTCAGACCTGTGGGGAGGAGGCATCGTTTGGGAGAAGCACTTGCTTAATCTCGGAAACATGGCACATGAGCACCGCCTGTGCACACGCACAGACTCAGAGATGGCCACCAGCGAGCCCTGTACACACAGCCACACGCAGGCGGAGCGGAGCACACCCCACACAATGCCTCATTAATATTCCGTTGTTCTTGGCCCATTTGCTGCTGGGGCCTGGTGTTTAGCATCCGCAGCTGTGTTTGGTAAGTTAGTCCAGCCGTGCTCTTGGCATTGATGGATCCCTGATTCACGCGGCTCGTCATATATATAATAAGCTCTCAGCTGCGCTGCGTGGAGGGGCTGAGGAGCCGTGGGGTGGGGCTGGGATGGGGAGGATCACGCCGGGCCTGCCAGTGCCGGGGGAAACCGCAGGTGAGGGCAGGCCGCTGGGGTCACAGGTGCACAGGGCAGGCCGGAGGGGGCCCTAATTAGTCTCATTTGTCCTGTACTTAATGTCAAGCTCATTAAAGAGGCTACAGAGTTAATCAACACACCACAAATTGGATTTGGAGTTGTGCAGCCAGTTTTGTGTACATTATGGCAACACCGTCACAATTAACTCTCAGGGTAAGGATTTTGGACCAGGCCCTTGCCATGTTCCCAAAGGTAGGGGTGTGTGTGTGTGTGTGTGTGTGTGTGTGTCTTCTAAGTTTTTCTTATTCTGTTCCCTGGCTGACTCTGGAGATTTCCTATTTAAACTTACTTAACATGTGATCCCCTTCATAATTAAATTCATAAAAATCTGATCAAACAAGACTCTCTGTCTCCCCCTGTGTTTTTAAACACGTAGGGCCCCCCCTGCAGAGGACAGCGCAGATGCTGGCTTCCCAGCCGGGTGGCTGTGGTGTACGCTTTAATTACCGGCTCTGGCTGAAGTCTCCCGTGGCCCTGGCTTTATTTATTTATTTATTTATATCTTGATGAGGATTCTGAATCCTTGATTGAAGCCGTAATCATTGCTGATTCAGTAAGGAGGGGCAGTTGGGTGTGAGACGGGCGGTATGTGAAGCGTCTGCACAGGAAGTGGCACGCGGGCACAGGCACTGACTGACCTCACCCAGCTGAGGAGGACCAGGGTCTGGGTGGGCGTGCCCTCCCCTTGGGCCAGATGGGGCGGGCGGCTGGCGACAGGCAGGTGCTGAGAACCGCCCAGGTCTGCATGCGAGGGCCTCACTGGACCTGCTCGCTCGGGCGTGCCCCATAGGCCGGCTGTGCTCCCTGAGCTTTTCCAATCCGGCTCCTCCGTGGAGTTGCTCCCCCTCCCTCTCCCATCTCCCTCTGTGCCCTGGGGGCTTCTTGCAAATCTTTCACCCATGAGAGAGCCCGCCAGTGGGCAGACCGCAGCATCCACTCCCCATAGAGCCTTAAAAAACCCTTCAGAGCCATCAGAACCGATGAGAATTTATGTGGGTACAGGGTCCTGCATTCAAGAGGGGGGAGCTTGGGGTAGCGGCCTGAGGAGGGGAGAGAGAGAAGAGAGTAAAATATAATTTTAAAGAGGAAGTGAAGGCACAGGCATGCGAGTCTATAACGAGAGGGACAATTTATGCCCAGGCACGCACGCAGTTTGACATGGGGATAATGAAAAAACGTAAGTCACTGCGGATGACTTAAACCTTCAGCAGCTGAAGAAAATGTATGAAATGCAGAGGACATTACACGGTTGGCAGCCCCGCACATCTGCAGGGGGACAAGTGAAATACAGTGGGCCATCCTTTACCATAAACTGTGGTTGTTGGAGATGCAGCCCAGAGAAATTGTAATTACAGTGACAAGACGAATCAGCGATATTTAAATATTCATGAACAAAGTCTGGGGTGATCAATCTATCTTTATTGTCTGTGCCTTCGCTCCTGTAATAAATAAGTAGCTGAAGTCTTCACCTTGCAGCCCCAAAGCGCCCCCACTTTGGGTACAAAACGAAAAATCGTTAACCCCCACAACCCCACCCAACCTCTCACCTTCCGGGGGACACTGGGATGCACAGAAAGGAGGCTGACGGGCGTGGATTCCAGGCGAGGAGAAGCAGTCCTCCCCGAGGTTCGTGCGCCCAGCATTTCCCAGGGCCCCTCTGGGTCGTCCTCAGAGATGCACTGAGGCCACAGGGTGAATGGAGCTCCCCTTTGGCTTGACGCGCTTCCATTTAGAAGCCTGGTGGGCGTGACGGTGGAGTCAGTGCAGCCTGTCACTTAGCCATCGGAGACGGTCCCACGTCCAACTGGAACAGACCAGAATCTGACTGCTGACTCCGCTACTTACTAGCTCTTGGACCTTGGGGACCATGGTTAAGCATCTCTAAGCATCTCGGTTTTCTCCTCTGTAAAATGAGAATAATAGTAATACCTTTCTCGTAATGTTCTTGCAGGGATTACGTGATACGAGCCATGTGAAGTTTTTCATGTCGTAGTGAGCACTCAAAAATGTGGGCCATTTTCATCAGAAAGTGTCATAAAAATTATGCCTCTGCTGCTAAAAGAACAAAATGCGGGACTTTTTTCCTCTTTGGGGACAGAGAAGAAACTGAAACCTCGTTTTGCCTGGGGGAGCTCAGTGGGGGCTAAAGAGAAGCTTCCAAGCAGGTGATTTTTGAGCTGGGCTTTGCAGGATGACTAGGAGTTCGCCAGGGAGAGAAGAGAAAATCAAGCGGGGAAAACAGTCGTGTGAAACTGTAGAGGAGGGAAGGGGCAGAAGGCATTTTGGAATAATGTTCTCATTGTTCCCAAATTGGAGGGCTTTCTTAAGGGCAGGTCCTCAGGCTGGAGTGGCCTTTGCCCCTGACCGAGAGGAAAGGAAGGGAAGGTAGCGTGAGAAGCTGAACAACCAGGTCTCAGAGCCCCACGCCTGCTCTCTGGGGACTGCTGTTTATCTCAAGCAAATGGGCTCTCTTTCCCTGGGACTGGCCCTTGGCCCGTGAGTGACCATTGGGCCACAGTAAGGCACAGACACGTGGGAACAGGGCTCCCTGTTTATGTCCTGGGGGCCGGCAGAGGTGGGGGTCTGACCTTAAATGGCGTTTGCAGGTGGTGAAGGCAGGCACTCATCCTCCTGCTGTCCCCTGAAGTGGAGGCCGGGATAGGCAAAGCCCTGAACCAGCCCCTTGTCCCCACAGGCGACCACCCGTACGAGTGTGAGTTCTGTGGCAGCTGCTTCCGGGATGAGAGCACACTCAAAAGCCACAAGCGCATCCACACGGGCGAGAAGCCCTATGAGTGCAACGGCTGCGGCAAGAAGTTCAGCCTCAAGCACCAGCTGGAGACGCACTACAGGGTGCACACAGGTACCGAGGGCCAGAGCGGCACTGAGCGGCTCTGGAACCTGGGCGGGGTGGCGGGCAGGTGGCTCCCAGAGGCGTCAGGGCTGAAGGAAAGAGTCGGGCAGGTTCTGCTAAGGGTTGTGTGCTGACCTGCGTGCCACTGCCCCTTGCAAGACTGAGGCAGGCATTGCTACGCAACCGCAGCCCTTCCCGGGAGCCCAGACCGGCCCTCCAGGCAGCCCCAACCAGTGGGTCCCAGATCACGCAGGATGGCGTCCGTCTCTTAATCCCGGATTAGGTTCCCCAGGTAGCTGAGAGTGAAGGTTGGGGTAGTTTTTTACTTGGCAGAGTAGGAATTAGAGGGCATTGGGTCAGCTTACGGTGCGGGTTGAGAAGTCACCAGTTAGAGTTAGGTTCTGAGCTTGGAGGAGCAGATATATTTAAAACACCCACGTGTAGAATGTCTTGCCATTTCAAAGGGACTTCACGTTCCTTTTCACATAATAGAAACATGAGCTGCACTTTTCCCTGGGGTCCCCGGCAGACCAGCAGACGCGTCCCTGTGCCCAGGACTGCCAGCTGGGGGCGGTGGGTGCTGGGGCACATCCCTTCCCAACTGCAAGTCCAGTGGCCTCACCTTGGTGGCTTAGCATTGGCCATGGTGGGAGTAGTCACAGCGTGGCCATGGCAAATGCTACAGACCCAGGCTTGCACGGAACCGGTTGTTGCAGATTCTGTCACCAGCCCACCACTGGTTGGGGGAAGGTAGCCACTCAGAAGGGCTTCCTCTGAGAATAAGACGCAGTGGAAGGTCGTCTCGCCACCTGGGAGCCTCCTGTGACGAGGGGAGGTAGCTGCCCTTTTCAGAGGAGGGGAGAGGTGACCTCTGTGGGTGGAGAGGGTGGGCAGAGGGGACAGGAAGCAGAGGACTCGTGTTGTCATCGCTCTGCTTCTTGCATTGGCCACAGGAGAGGATGGGGTGCTCGTTGCTGGCCACCAGAGTGACCCAGAGATTCCCCAGAGGCCTGGGCCTCCTTAGCCCTTGTCGGGGATGTGGCCTGGCAGGTGGATCATTAAACGCATTGGCAGTGACTATTGTAAATAGCAGGTCGATAGTTAGATCACTTTGGCTGTTCATTACTTCATTATTTGCTGGGCCCTCTGCATGGAGGAGTATCGATAGTGAGATGGCTGGCCAGTTAATTACTGTATCGAAACGAGGTTCCCTCACTCCTCGGCTCAGCTCCAGGGGACTCCCAACAGGAGGCCGGGCACCAGCTAGCGTGGGGCCAGGCCGCCAGCTGTTCTGTCCCCCATTCCAGCCCCAGAGGGAAGGCGGGGGCCGGCACAGGTTCTAAGAACCCGTGATGATACGCAAGCCCAGATGCAGATGTTTGAAGGGTGAGGTCCCTCATCTCGCGGCACCCCTACTCCCCACCATCTGTAGCCCCGCCCCCCGGAAGGAACTGCTGAAGGGCCATCCCCAAGGAGATTCCGGGCCTCCCTGCCCCAGTTCCAGACCCCCAGGCCCCTCCTTTGGGAGAATGAAGAAGAGGAAGGCCAGGGACTAGGGCTGTGCTGCATACCGCCACCGCGGGCTGCATGCGGCTGTTAAATCAGTGACAGGAAATACCTTGAAGACTAGTGCCCAGTCACACTGGCATATTTCAGCCGCTCAGCTGCCGGGTGTGACTAGGGCTACCATCCCAGGTGCATCCACAGTGCTGGGAAGTGTGACCAGGGTGGGCGAGGGCCCGCGCGCCCCAGGGGAGGCCCTCACAGCACTCCCTCCTCCCGCAGGCGAGAAGCCCTTCGAGTGCAAGCTGTGCCACCAGCGCTCCCGGGACTACTCGGCCATGATCAAGCACCTGCGGACGCACAACGGCGCCTCCCCCTACCAGTGCACCATCTGCACCGAGTACTGCCCCAGCCTGTCCTCCATGCAGAAGCACATGAAGGGCCACAAGCCCGAGGAGATCCCGCCCGACTGGAGGATAGAGAAGACGTACCTGTACCTGTGCTACGTGTGAAGCCGGCCGGCCGGGGCCAGAGGAGCGGGAGCGAGAGGAGGAGTTAGAGCAGGATGAAGTCGAGGAAGGATTGTGCAAAAAATACATGTCTATACATAAGGGAAAAAAGGAAGAAAAAGGAAACCTGATAGCTCTCTGGCCTTGAGTCTCTCTGGGGCTCCAGGTGACCAGGATGCCCCGCCCGGCCCCTTCCCGGGCCTCCGTCCCTCCTCCCCTGGCTGGATTTCTGGGGTGGGGGTGGAAGGGATTTTGTTCTGCTCAGACCCTCTTTTATGTCCAGAAATGGAGTCTGAGAAGAAGGCGAGGGGTGTTCTGGTCAGAGCCAGTCTCTGCCTGCCATCCTCAGCCTCCTCAGAAGATAGAGGCTCCGGGGGCCAGGGGGGTGGCCTGCAGATGGTGGGGCTGGACTGGGTCGCTGGCTGACACTCAGAGTGGCAGCTGGTGTGCTGGGGGCAGATGGGAGTGGGGAAGGGCGCCTCTTCCCCTCCCATCACTCATTTCACCTGTTGCTTCCCTCCGCTCTGCCGATCTGCATGTCCCTCCTGGTCTCCAGGAGCCTCAAGGCTCTTGCCCCTCCCCCAGCTCCTGGTCCTCGCCTTCCCCTGCCTCCTATCCTCCAGTTCAGGGAGTGCCCAGCCCCCCCCCCCCCCAGCTCCTTAGAGGGGAATCTGTGTCCGACCCCAGAGCCCCACTCCCACCCTTAGCCTCTGAGAACACAAAGCCAACGGAAGACCCACCCTCAGAAAGCCCTGTCCTGAGTGAGACTTGCTTCCCAGTTGGAAAAACAGCTAAATACATATAAATACATGGGTCCCACCAACACCGGACAAGGCTCCCTGCCACCCCGGGTCCCGTCCCTGGGAGAAGGAATCTGTGGACGTCCTTCTCCAGCAGTGCCCTCCCCCGGAGAAGGGGGCACCTGCCAGCAGTCGGGGTACTGGCCAAGGGGGTGCTGTTGAATCATTCTGGGGGCCTTTTAAACACCCCAGACCCGGTGAGCGCAGTGGGAAACCCAGGTCCAGAGAAGGCACAGAATTCCTGGCTCGTGCCCCCCCCACACACACCCGCCCCCTCCGCCCCCCAGGCCACAGGAAGGGGGAGTTGTTGAAAGCGCTTCGGCCTTGTGTTACTTCTGTTGTGTGTCCGGGTTCCCCTGTAGCACGTTGTGCTTGAATTACCTCAGTTTTTCGTGACCTCGTGAGCTTTTGTACCCCTGCATCTCTCTCTTTGGTTGGGGGTTGGAAGAATGGGGAGGGAGTTCTTTTGTGTTTCTTGTGTAAATTAATAGTTGGTTTAGTACCTGTTAGCTGGCCAAGACCCCCATCCCTGAGCGACCAGCTTCCCAGCGGGAAGGAGCTGCACAGAAGGATCGAGTCCTCGGGCCCTGAATGTGGGGGCTGGGTCCCCGGAAGGTGGGTGGAGGGGGAGGCGTACTGGGGGCCTTTGGAGTCACTCCGTTGGCTCTGCCCAGAGCATGAACTCATCATGCCCAGCATCGGTTCAGCCTAAAACGCTCTGGACACGACCCCCCCTTTCTTACAGTTTGCTGGGTCTGGGGGCTTGTGCTATTCAGATCCTTGCGTCTGTGCGACCCCACCTCTGTGCGCGACCCCCACCTCTGCGCACATGATCATTGCCAAAACCGGTCTGCTTCCTGGCTGCGAGGGATGCGCCAGTCGGGGTTCTGTTGCCCGGGGTGGGGTGTTGTTTTCTGAAAGCTACCTCTTAGGTTCGTCCGGTTCCTTTGTCCCCTCCTGCCGGCCTGCGGCGCTGCTGCCCGCTCTCCCCAGCCTCCGCCCCAGCTTAGGAAAGCACATTGCCATGTTTGTGTTCACGGTGGGATGGGCCCTCGGTTTCGACTCATGCTTTATTTGTGGAAGTTATTTTCTTTCCTTTCTCTCTTGGAGAAAGTTGTGGCTGCGTTTTTATCTTAGGTTTGAAAAAGTGGTTTAGGGAAGCGGTTTTGGGGAGAAGCATCGTGAGGAGAAGAGGGCCGTGGGAGGGATGGGTGCTGCTGGGACCACCCCCCGTCTCTTGGCCCCACCCCTCCAGTCTCGCCCACCCAATTTGAAGGCCTTAAAAACTGTGTTGGGGGTATAGCATTGGGGGGACCGTGTCGCTGGACTATGGATTGGGGTGGTAAGTAGGGAGGATGCTACTTTGCAATTATAATAATGAGTTAGTGCTTGGGAAAGGAAAAAGCTAAACTTGAAATCCGTGACTAGAGCAGTTTTATTTATAATGTGAAGAGGGAAGTCTTTGGCTAGGAGCAGTCTGCAGGAATTCGTTGTGCACTATGGCTCCCCCCCCCACCCCCACCCCCCCTCTGGGAGAAAGGGCCACTGGCGGGCCCCGGGGTCTGTAAGTCCCAGGAGACAGTGTGTTAACAGCAAGATGTCATTGAGCTTTGGTGGGGAAGAGAAAGAAATCAAACTATTCCATGGACCTGGCTGACACCCACACTGGTCCCACTGCCCAGCAGCCAGGGTCTCCTCCCCTTTGCCTGAAAGCTGAGAGGGTGGAGCTAATCGTAGAAATTGTAATATTTTTGTAATGTTTGTTAGTTCCTTCGTCAGTTCTGCAGGACCTTGCCCTTCCTTTTGTAATGTGCATAGGAAAAAGAAAAAGACAAAAAAAAACCTACCACCACCACCAAAATGTCCGTTTGTGTGTGTGTGCGCGTGTGTGTGCGCGTGTGCGTGTGCGTGTGCACGTGCTGCTTGTGTGAGGTCAGGCAGCGTGGCGTCTGCTGGGCAGCACTGGATGGTACTAAAGCTCGGGCCCCAGGGAGCCCCAGTAGGGAGGCAGGAAGAGGGGTCCAGACTGCGGTTTCTGAAGGGCGCTGGGTGGGAGACCTGTGTCTTGCTTTCTTCCTTTTTGGCTTCCTGCTCACGAAGGTGAGAATTCTGATCTTGCCAGGGCCGTCGTGGCCAGGCCTAAGGGCAAGGTGAGGGCCAGGGATTAGCTAGAGGTGTTGCTGTGTCTGGATAGAGGGGGCTTGGAGACTAGGCGGGGGGAGGCTGCTCCCCCCCCAGGTGAGGTCTGAGTGGCGTTACTCCCCTTTCTCTCCGACATCTGGCCCTTGGCCACCTGCTGCCTTTGGCTGTGGACGGCGGACAGCCCTGCTCGCTCTGCCTTGTCCAGCGTCTCACGCTCTCCAGTCTGCAGGGTCCAGGTTGGTCACAGTCCCTCCCCTGGGTTCCCGCCGACAAGCATGTCCCCGCTGCTTCCAGTGACACTGCCCCTGACTCGTGCCCCTTCCCTGCCACTCCTTCACTCACTCAAAGCATTAAAATCCTATGTGTGTAGGATAGACAGATATATATAGAGAGATATATAGCAAGAGAGATATAAATAGTAAATATCGTTGCTGCTCTGGAGGAGGCCACGGATGTGAGGAAGGTGGGTCTGGGGTGCAAGGTGGGTAGGGGGGCTGGGGTGCAGGGTGGGTAGGGGGGCTGGGGGACCCAGTGATTCAGTACAATCCAGGGATGCAATGTGGGCTAGTTTAATATTTGTGCCTGAACAGTTCTCCATGTTTAGAAAAAGGAAAAAAAAGGAAAAAAACCTGCTGCAATTTTCCGCAAGGTGTGTGGTGCCCTTGGGGGTGCTGCTGGCTGGGGGTGGAGGCCCCGGAGGGAGAGGGCCTTCAGGCCCCCTCTGTCCGGGGAGTGAGCGGCAGGGGCGGGTCTGTGGCTGGGTCCCTGCCAGCCCAGCAGGAGTGAGAGCGCAGGATGTCGGACAGAAGCAGGAAAAGATGAAGCCGTCTGTTCATTTTCCTAGGCCTGTGGCACGTTCTCCCCTCCCGCCTCGCTTCCTCCTCTGGGGGGCTTCCTGGCGGCACCTGCCTGGGTATTTCAGCAGGAAGTAAACGGCCAGATGAACCCTTCGTGGAAACTGATGGGTGCGGGGCGGGCGGGGGGATGGGGAGAGGGAGGCAGAGCCGGCCAGGAGGGGCCAGGAGACAGGCTGGGGAGAGGGGCGCAGGCCCCACCAGCCTGTTGGCCAGCCGCCCTGCTCCCCGCGTCCCGGGTGCCCGCTCTGCAGACGGCGTACCCGCCCCCTGGCGTGTGTGCTGGAACTCGTTCACACGGTGTCACGCATGACCCCTGTCAGGTGGCGGTGCCGTGGCAGGCGCCGTGACCGCCGACCCATCTATATAAAGATGAATATATAGAGATATATATATGTATGTAAGTTAAGCACTGGGGCCCCGGCCCTGCTGGACCAAGCAAAGCCCAGCCTCCGGCTCGGGCGTGTTCTGTTGCGTTTCGTTTGTTTTCGTGGCTTGTCTTTTGTCAAGTGCCAGTCCGATCGCTCTGTGTTACAGATAGTGTTTTAATTCATGGCTGTTCTAGTTCATGTCTACCTCAGCACCTCCTCTTAGCCTAATTTTAGGAGGTTGCCCAATTTTGTTTCTTCAATTATACTGGTTACTTTTTTGTACAAATCTCTCTCTCCCTCTCCTTCTCTCTCCCTTCCGATGCTCCGTCCCTTGTCCCTCCCCTTCCATCTCTGTTGGTTTGTTCCACTGGCCCCCACCCCATCCCCTGCCCCTGCCCCTGCCCCAGCCTGGGGACCCCAGGTGTGCTTGCCAGCCCCACCTGCCCCTGCCCCGAAGCCGTCCCCTCCAAGCTGTGCGGTCCTGGGTGAGCTCTGCGCTGCGCCTCTGCCTTCGTTTCGTGTAGATGGATGCGTTTCTCTGTAATTCCAGTGTTCTGATGACATTTAAAAGAAAAAACAATGAATTTCCTGCTGCAGGTCTTCTCTCCATGTGTCACTAAGTGAAGTTGTGCCTTCTATAGCAAAGAGAATATTTTTTACATCCTACTAACAGTAGATTTTTTTGTAGTGAACATTTTTTTGTATTTTTATTTATAAGTCTCATAAGAAAAATAGCAATGTTCAGCTGTATACCTTGAATCTGCAGTTAGAAGAGAATAAAGTTAACTCAGTTGTCTCCGGCTCCAAGTGTCGCTGTTTGTAAGAACTGGTTTGTCTTTTCTGCCTTTTCTTGGGAGGGGGGCAGGGGGGCGTAGAGGAACTGAGATTTCCGTCTGTGGAGGGAGAAAGCTGCAGGCCCCGCATTCAGCCTCATCTGTGCGTCACTTCTATGTCCTATTTACTGGCACAGATCCACTCCACGACGGATTTCTCTAATACTGGTAAGGAAAACGGTGTGCACGACGCTGCTGTCGCTTGACGCCGTGGCACAACGTGTGAGGCAGGCGCGGGGTCATCGTCCCTTCAGCCGGACCGTCATGGCCGCCCGCCCGGTGGCTGCGGGAGGCCGGGAGCCTGGCCTGGTGGCTGTGGCCGTTATGGCCGCCCGCCCGGTGGCTGCGGGAGGCCGGGAGCCTGGCCTGGTGGCTGTGGCCGTTATGGCCGCCCGCCCGGTGGCTGCGGGAGGCGGGAGCAGCGCTGGGCAGCGCCAGGGCGCCTGCCCTCGGGGAGCTGGCCGTCTGGTGGCCGTGAGGCTCCCTGGGCTTGTGTCCGCACAGCTTGCTCCAGATCACAATGGCTGATGAGTGAGTCACGGAGTCAGAACTTGCATCTGAACCTCCTGATACCAAATTGGGGTTGTCTCTCCAGGACTCCAGAGGCAGGGCTGCCGTCTGGTCTTTATAATAGAGACATTTTTACTTCTCAGCTTCAGCAAGCGCCAGGAATTTCTCAGCAAGAAGCTGCCACCCCATGTAAGGCCCCTGGGTCTGTGGCAGCCAAGCCCATGGCGAAGGGAGATGGACCAGGGGAAGGCACGGGGAGGGGGGTTAGGGGGGAGGTGTGCGAGCCCAGCGTCACCGCAGCAGGATGAGTGCAGCCTTCCCTCCAGCAGAACTCGGGGGCACCCGCCCACCTCCGCTCCCTGTCACTGGGCCAAGGCGTCCTCTCCAGGCCTGCCTTCCCCTCCCGGGGGCTGGGAGCTTTGCCCTGTTGTCGAGCTAGGAAACCACTTCTGCCCAGTCCTAGGCCTGCTGGCTCCGTGCCTCTGCCCAGAGCCTCCTGCCTGCCCTGCTCCGACCACAATAACCCATCTCCTCACTAAAACCCAGGACACAGCGCTGATGGCTGCAAGTCTGGGGGTGGGGTGTGGAGGCGGGAACCGGTGCTCAGGGCCCACCTGACCTGCGTTACTGCGGGTCACGAGGAGCCATCGCTCTGCACCCTCCGGCACCACAGCCTGTGCGGGAGGCCGGTGCTTTGCCTCACCTGCCTGCTCGGGCGTGGACTGAAGAGTGGCCTTGCATCCCCTTTGTCCCCGAGGGGCTGAGGGAACCGAATTGAGACCGGCCTGGCGCGACATTCGCCACCCTGGCTGGATGCTGGACGCCCTTCCCAGGAACAACATGGCAGGCGCTCTCCAGCCTGTGGCTTGTCGGTCTGTCTACTTTCTTCTCTTTTCTCTCTGCTCCTCTCTCTCGTCTTCCCTTCATCTCTCTCTTCCTTTCACCCCATCTTTCTTCTGTCTCCACTCCTCCTTCCTCACTCTCTCCTGTGTCATTTTTGTTGTCCTCTTTTTGTTTTTGCTTTTGTGTGTCTGTCTCACATTCATTTTCCTCTCCCCCTATTTCTCATCTTGGAAACAATCCTTTGCCAAAAAACATAGTGGGTTTGATTTTGAGCCCCTGTCTGCAAGCCGTCCATCCATCCCTTTCTTCTCTGGTCCTGGGCACTCCCCCGGCCTCACCCCTCCCGGGGTCTCCCCTCCCCCGCAGGCTCCCGTCCCTCCCCCACACTCCTCCCTACTTAGGCCTCCGCTTTCTCCTGACAGATGGGAGGGAGTGAGCACTGCCTCTTTAAAACAACATTTAATCGCCGTTTTCTGTTCTTGGACATCAAAGCTGGGGCTTAGGCGCTGCGCTGGGGTCGTGGCGGTGCAGGCTGTGGGGGAGAGGAGGTGCGTGAATAGGCCCCGGCTGAATGGGCTTTGTGTGGCTGCCAGGGTCTGCCTGCTTTACATGCTCTTTGACCCAGATATGATCTCATGGAGAGAAAGGGGCCCTGGCTGGGCCAGCCTGAGAACGCTCAGCGGCCCGCTCCGTCCTCCCTCCCCCTGGAGCCCGGGCCAGCTGCCCTCTGCCCCAGCCCGCAGCCCTGGGCAGCCTCCTCCCGGACAGGACTTGCCAGAAGGGCACTCTGCTGGGGTCAGAGGAGGGGTCAGGCAGCCGGGGGAGGGGCCACATTCCTCCTGAGTGTGTCTCCAAGGATATTAAGTGGGAGCCCCCTACGCACAATGTCCCTCTGGCCAGGGCCGATTGGGTTCAGGTGGGCCCTGGGGTCGCATCCTGTCAGCCTTAACAGCTCTCCTTCCAGCCGTTCTGAGGGGCTCCCCTCTGCCCAGAGCCAGGAGCCAACAGAGGCTTGCTGAAGGTCTGAAGGCCTGAGCACGGTGTGGCAGCCGTCCAAGGCCTCGGCCTTCTCCATCCAGCTCAACATTGCCAGGCTCCCCTGGCCCCCACCAGGAGGAGAGCGGCTGGGGAGCACTGGCCGCACTGCTCTGCCTGCCCCTGTCCCAGCCTCTCCTTCCTCTGAGCAGCCAGAGGGATCCTCCGAGAATGCACACAGTGTCGTGTCAGTCCTTGGGCTAAAGGCCCGGTGGCTCCTGGTAACTCAGGATGGAATCGGAACTCCTAACGAGGCCGGCAAGACCCTTGGTGGTAGGGCCCTGTGCTCGCCGCCCCGCCTTGCCTCGGAATCACCCGCATGTCCCTCGGCCACCCCCGACTCTGGTCTGGACAACTGGACCACAGATGATTCTGAAGACACGGAGATCCGCCCCCCGTGGGCCTTGCACATGCTGTGTCCTCTGGGTGGAACCCTGCGACCCACACATTCCCCTCCCTTCTGTCTGGCCACCTCACGTCTCGTTACTCAGGTCGCAGCTCACACCTTTCTCTGGGGAAACCTTCGCTGCCCGAGCTGCGTGGTGCCTCCAGGCCGCACCTGCTGTTGTGCACGCATCGCCTGCTTTCTCAGCTGTTGTCACTGCCTGACTGGCAGCTTCCTGCCGGCAAGGATTGTGCGTTGAACGTCTCCCTGTGCTCAGAGCCTAACGCTGCCGGGTATGTGGTACACACCCAGTAACCCTTTGCTGAAAAAAACAAATGAAAGGAGGGGATGGAGAGGGAGGGAAGGAGAGAGGCAACGCGCATCCGGGACTGAGGTTGCAGTTGCCAAGGATGGTGGAACCGGATACCCTGTGTACATGCCGCGCCCGCCCAGGCCTTGTGCATGCACGTCCCCGGCTGCAGAGGCCACAGCGGAGGCCCTCCTGCTTCCCTCACACGTGTCATGTCAGTGCACAGACATCTGAACGGTGTTTGCCATGTGCAAAGGGAGGAGCAGCCAGCACAGGCCACGGCTCGTCGCAGGCAGGGTGCTCCCTGGGCATCGCTGTGTGTGTGTGTGTGTGTGCGCGCGCGCGTG